ATGGCATGTATGTATGTATGTATGTATGTATGTATGTATGTATTTATTTATGAGACTTCTATGCCACCCCATTCACCGAAGCCTCGGGGCGGCTCACATCCATCAATAAACTTCCATAAAATAATACAAATTAACAGAGGTATAAATTGTTCCACGATCAACCCACGCTGCATAGGTTATTCCCAGGGTAGACAGTTCTGTGGTTTAAACACTACCTGTGTAACTAGTTTCATGGCACTTCGTATCTTGGCCGAAATGCTTGGAGAGCTACCATAAAAAATTTGCTATAAAATCTTGACAAATGTCAGTTTCTAAAAAGCAACATCACCCTTTATGAGCTGTTGCATTAGAAATGCTATGGAATGTGCTGAATGAACTTGGGTTTGTTGGTTTTCAGAGTTTGTCTTACTGCTTGCCAGTGCTGTGATAACCTTTGACATCCCTTGCACATCTGTATTCTTGGAAACTTATGGACAAAATAACTTTTTATTCCCCTACTCCAAAAAGAAATGGTTGCAGTTAAAAGTACAATAATGATAGCACAAAGCATTCTAGGAGCAGGATTTGGGCAAGATTTTCCCTCTTTTGTCCATTGACCTCTTTAATGAAAACTCCTGTGCTATCTATTCGGTACAGTATTTGCAGCCTAAGGAGTCTTCTGATATTGGTTCATGATCTTCCCATCCTGGGAAAAAATTGTCTGCACTGCAGCTTCAGCAGAGAGGGAAAACTGAGCAGGGATTAAAAGTTCACACAAATGTTAACAAAACCAGTGGATTTGTAGGGCAGGCTGTAGTTGAGGCCTGAAAAGAGTGTCCAGGATATAGAGAAGTTAGGAGGTTTGGAGCCCAGTGGCAGCATAGACAATGATCTAAGAAATGGGGAGTGTGTCATGAGCCATGTTTTCCTCCCTTCGCACATTCAAGACAACAAGCTTTCTTTGCAAACCTCTTGATTCACCAAAGGGCCCCCAGTGAGTGCAGCCCTCACAGAATGCATGCACAGAGCAGTTTGTTGAACCCAATCTAAACAACCACATCTGGAAACCCTCCTTTTCGGTTCATCTGGGCCCGATCCCTTCTGAAGGGCCCATTTGAAAGCAAGTCTGTCTCCTTTTCTTATGTCATTCCTCTAATTGCCATCCCCTCCTTTTCTGACACTGTGTCATGGGATCAAGAGTCATACCAGACTCATCTAATTCTGAGAAATCCTTTCCCATGCTCTCATCTGACACCTGTGCCTCTTGGCTGAGCACCTGGGGAAAGTGACCTTGAGATAGGTGGCACTTTCATCATCTCAAAGTCTTGATCCCATGTTCCCCAGCTCCTTCTGCCTCCTCCCCTTCATCCCCTGTCTCAGAATCCAGATTGGCATGACCCATGAGTGCATGCCAAGAATAACTGCCACCATCATTCCCCACAGAGAAAGAAAGAGAACGAAAAGGAGGAAATGTCCAGAAGTAGCCAAGACAAGAAGAGACTGGTGGGAAACCTCACTGGAATGAAGATTGAAAAGGTAGCATGCAAAAGACATGAGTGTTCAGCAGTGTAAAAGGAAGATGGGCAAAGCAAAAAACCTTTGGTGTTGGAAAGAAGAGAAGCCAAGGCCCGCCCTCACATTGGGCCATGCAGAATGACAAGAAGGGCAATCCTGCGCAATGGGAAGGAGATAAGCAAGGGAGGCAGTCGAAGGGGCATAAGATAGTTAGGCAGATAATAGTACACAGCTGTGTTTCATTTACTGATTTCAACTAACCAGACAATTCACTGGTTGCACGTTTCTTGTTACCTTTTAATTGCCTCACAAGTGTGGTTTGTCAGCTTGCCAGCAGGTACTTTCTCAAGTGCTACTGTTTGCTTTGGCTGTAGAATGATTGAGTTGCGGGCATATCATTAGCACTTCAGTAAACACCTTTTTTCCAAGTAGGAACACTTCAAGCTCTCTTGTCAGTACTGATTGATGAAAACAGATATGATCCCGTCTGTCCTGTGCAGAAAACACCGATACACGAGGAAGAGGGAGGTTTTGATGACCCCTTTCCCACAGTTTTGTGGCATAAATACGTCCATAGCAGATGGACATTCTTGTTTCATTTCTTGTTAATGTTTGAAGTACATAGGGAAATCAATGTAGCGGATCAATTTCCAAGTTGCTTGTGTGTTGGACTTTGATTTTTGTTTAGTCTTTAAAAGTTGCTTTATTGTGAAACTAATTTTTTATTAAAAGTGTCAGAATAACTACAATGTTTAATGTTGCTCCAATAAAAAAGGTACTCAGAGAGCCTACCACTGAACTACTACTGAAACAGAGAAAACCAGTTCACAGTCGGGGAAGAATTAGAGGAATGGGAAAATTGTGTGGATGCTTTTGCTCAGGGTCATTTGACACATGACATAGTATCAAGCAGGTTTTGCCTCTGAGTGTTGATCAGCAAAGAGATGCAGAGATTAGTACTTGGCTTATTGAAAAAAATTGATAATTGTATGCACATATACACTTTTAGGTGTCTATTCAAAACCTCACATGTATACCTCACATGTAATGCGTGAAGTGGCTGTCAGCTATAAGCAGATACCTTTTGTAATGAGCTTAAACAGACATGTCTACTCTCATGGAATATTTTTCGTCAGTTGTGGAATGAATGGCTTCACTTTTATTGCAATATATTGCAAAAAGATGATTAATGAATTTTATAAAGAAACAATAAATACTGAATATGGTATAGAGGTCAGTGGTTTCAGGGGATCTGTGATCATGTCACCACTTTTAAAAAAGTGAAACCAAGGCTGCAAATGGAGTAATTTGTTGCTTTGCTTCCAGTTTGATAGCTGTCAAATGGTGAGCTGTGAAATGTTGTTCACCCCCTTCTATGAGAGATCCTCTAGCCATGGAGGTTAGATCTGACTATTTCCAGTGTCCCTCCACTCTTCAAAATGGGAGATGTTTGGGAAGGTAGAAAAATGAGAGCCACCTCATTTACCAGAGCACAGAATTTTGGAACCTCTCAGACTCAATACTGATGTTTTCAGCATCTCAACTCTTGCAGTATGAACTAAACCAAGAACAGATGAGAAAGAACAATAAGGAGCGATAGTTTTCAGTGTGAACCTCTTCTTCTTTGGCTCCCTTTGAAACTATTCATCCTAAAATATTCCACAATGTAGATAGTAGTCTTACCTGGAATCCTTCATTCTCTGTTATAAAACCATTCTACATCACTGTTGGTCTTAGAAAATGGATGAGATAAAAACAACCAAGTTGTTACATTTTGTTCGACAAGTACCAGTACACAAGCTTTTGTCCAGACAAGTATAAATGTCTTGATGTCCCACTCACATTTTAATTGATGGAGGCTTGGCCAAAGCCCAATTTCCTATGTGTCCTTAGGATGATTTTTTTTTTTAATTTTAAAATGAAATCTGTAAAAAGGAAACATACCCTTTTGGCATATTTTAAGTGGTTTATCTGACACAAAGAAGTGTCAGGGTAGTAGCAACATTCTAGAAGTAGAATTTTGAGCAGGTCAGGTGTCTAAGTGCACAGTTTACATGGGCATTTAATGTTTTATTGAGCAGTGTTGTGAAGTTGAACGGAGGGGAGAATAGATACTTCCATGATCAAAAGTAGTCTGCTAAAAGATTTACAAAACTAGCGTATACAGTCTAAAGCTAAACTACTTTATCTTTAAATATTTTATTAACAGAGAAAAATAGCTAATGTTGAAGGGTCGTTTTTCTTCTGCATATTTCTTTACAAAAATCCCTGGTGTAGTTTTTTTCTTTCCATGCGGTTGGGCTCTGACACTGATCAATAGAGGGCTACTCACAACACAGAGGGCCGCAAAACTTGAATATAATAATGTTGATAGTTTCTGCAGTGGTACAACATTGTGTTCAGCAGGTATGAAACGGAGGCGTGTGTTCCATGATAGAGAAGATGGCCAATTCAAATTCTATGCTGAATTATGGATTCCTGTACAAAATATGTGGCTTTGAATAATCCATTTTATTTAACTTAATCTACTTATTTTTGGTTTACTTACCTTATTCAGATTGTGTTAGTCATGGGGAGGGGCAAGGGATGGTGGGCCCTGAAGCCCTCACACCTAAGCATAACCAATCTTATGCAGTTACCTGCTGCAGATCCTAAAGTTTCTGCAGGCATTGTCCATAGCATGTCTTCCAAGCATCTCCATGAAAATCAAGTCCAGCCAATTAGCAGAAGGAGGCAGCCTCTTCCAGTAGCAGATTTTGAGTGTCGTGAAAGAGCACCGAAGTATGTTAATTAATTGGCTATGGCAGTATTTTTACTGCCAGGGGTGAGTGGAACTTGTGAGATTATCTGCTTGAAATGCCAAAATAATTTGACCAGCCCTAGTATCTATGAACATTTACTTTGCAAGTGGGTTTTCTGGAGCAGCAAAAATGTCTTGGCCCAGCCCTGATTAATATATAAAATGTGTCTCTGCATATAGCCAACGTGACCAGAAACTTTTATTTTTAAATAAATGCTCCAGTTCTTTATGTCTTCCAAACAACCCTGCATTTATGCAGGAAAAGAATTTGGGAAAACTTTGGAGCCTCCCTGGAACCTGCGCAAGAGGCCATCCTTCAGTTCCCACTGCCACCTGAAACGGGGTGGGTGTCAAGGAAAGGGCTTTTTTGCTGTATAGCCCAGGATTTGGAAGGTCCTCTGAAGTTCTCTAGGACCCTTTACTGCCAGCTTTTGAGCAGGTGATAGAGATGCTTTTATTCAAGTAGGCTTTTGTAGCTTTTCTGCATTCTGTTCTAATTTAAATACTTTTGATGGTTTTGCTGTAAGTTGTGATTTTAAGTTGTATTTTTATTGTTTTGCTTTATATTGATATTGTGCAAGTTGCCTTGTATATGTTGATAGAAAAGGCAAACTATAAATCTAATAGTAATAAATAATAACAAAAAGAATATTATAACTTGTTCAACAATAACACATGAAATTATTCTCTTTGGTTGTTATTGCAGAATCCTTCGCAGCTTCCCTATGGAAAAGCCCTCTATGCTTATGAAGGGAAAGAACCAGGTGACCTCAAGTTTAACAAAGGGGATATCATCATATTGCGGCGGAAAGTTGATGAGAACTGGTATCATGGGGAACTGAATGGAAATCATGGGTTTTTCCCAGCAAGCTACATCCAGTGCATCAGACCTCTTCCACCAGCTCCTCCTCAGGGCAAAGCACTTTATGACTTTGAAATAAAGGACAAGGATCAAGACAAGGACTGTTTGACCTTCACCAAGGTAAAGTGTGACTTCCTTTCCTAATTGCTTTGAGGTTCATAACATGGGCAGTTTGAAAGCATCCAGTGGCAACTAACGAGATTGAGAGTCAAAGATCTGCCCCCATTTTGTTTATTTAGTAGCAGATCCTGATGTTGAGGATGCAAGTTTGAAAAAAACAAATACAATAACAACAATAATGGTCAGCATCCAACATCACTCTGCTATAATGTATATTCCAGTTCCTCTGACACCACTGAAGATCTGCTCCAGAGGGTCCTCCAGCCCTCCAGAGTAAATTTTGGAAGTGCAGTGGAAGCTGGAGAAGGAGAATCAGCCAACTTCCGGCTTCTGCTGATGGAAGCATTTCCATCAGTTGGAATATAGTTTGTTGGATTCTGCCTACAATTTCTGGATTTTCTGAAGGTCAATGATATGGCCAAGCTAGTTTAGACCTGCCAGATTCTCATGTTTTTGAAACAAAGATTTAAAATCATGTAGGTTTGTAGGATAGATGGGATGATCATAGAATCAGAGTTAGAAAAGAGCATGAAGCTTTCAGATGGCACTTCCTGGTAGACAATGCACTGTCCCTTGCAGAGCAACATATAGAGCCTCAACCTTGAGTAATTGCGTTGGGGAAAAGCCAAATTCTTCTGAGTTCAGAGCTTAACCTCCAGCTTTCATTGACTATTGAGACTGAAAACAGACTGATGTTAAAAATATTCAGAGTTGCTGCTGTAGCCCATACTGTCCATAGGGCAAACCCCAGGAAACATTGAGCCTTTGACCCGTTCCTAGTTGCTGTGTGTGAGTACATGCAACTGGTTAGGAGTACTGGAATAATTTCACGAGGCTGCCGAGCTCTGGAACTATAGATGAGTAGTGTTTTGCTCTCCTACCTTTGAACTCCTGGCCACCCATCTTATTTCAAACTAAAGTTGTACAGTCCACGACTTCTGTGTTGCATGGAAGAGGACGACTGAGCTGGGAGTGAATGCCACAGTGTGCACATCCCACAGTCCTATTCCACATTCACCCTCTTCCAGGGTACTTTAAGCTCTTTCTATTTCCCCCTCTTCAATAAGCATCCAATTCCCTTCAAAGGGGCATAGCTTCTAGAGGGCAGAGATTATGTAGTCTTTATCAGACCAGGGGATTTTCTGGTGGGAAGGTATTTCTCTTTTTAAAAAAGATCAAAAATTTTTGGCCTACCTGGAGAGACCCCTGCATACGCAAAACCTCTGCTTTAGTCTGTGAGTGGCCTTTCACTGCCACACTGATAGGCATGGGACCATCAAGTTTCCTTTGCTCATACAGTGACCATAAATGCTATTGCTTAAAGTAAGAAAGAATTTTCTCAATGAAAGTGTTTTTTCCTTTTTCCAAGGTTACATTATCCAGAAAAGTTATGACAAATTAACATTTTTGCAGGATGTTGTGAAATACTGATTTAATCATATGGTGATGTATTCATAGGTAAACATCGCTGTGTGTGACTGAAGGAAGCTCAGCATTTTGAATTTCTCTGAGATGCAGTTTTTTGGGATAGGGGGAAGGTCCAGTATCTGGAGACAGCAGCTCCATGAATAAAAACCAATCACTTGTGCATATTTTTGTCTCCCAGTTGCTATCATTATAGAAAGGACATCTGATAAACACTCTTGTGCATTCAAGTCCAACCCTCTTTTTAGTCAGAGTTAAACAGTTTCCTTTAGCAGCTGATTTGGGGCATCATTCAAATAGCTTTTATATTATTATTATTATTATTATTATTATTATGATTATGATTATGATTATGATTATTATGTGTATTTGCTGCCAGTTAAGAGAGTGATGTTTTAGGGGTGATGCAGAAGAGGAGATAATTATTCCTCGGGGCCAAAATAATTTGGTTGGCCTTCAGTACTATAGATCTCAACTTGAGGGAAAGAGCACTTCATTTACTCCATTTGGGTCAGCTCTGCATTCAGTTTTCTTTACTGGAGTAACTTGGAGACATAAATGGCGAATGACTCGCTGCTGCCAGTGCCATGCATTATGGCCCTGTATCATTTTCATATGCGCAGTTCCGCTCACTCAAGTCAGCGTTACAACTGCTCTCTCGTTTATCTTTGATCAGGTTACCATCTCTGTTCATACTTCTTCTCTCCCTTACCAATGGTTTCTTTGTTTTGCCTCAGGGACTTTGCCTTTCCACAGCATCGCTATTCCTTAGCTTTTTCCCTTCTATACATCCTGTCACCTAGTAACTGTGTCTTTGTTTCCTCTCTGTTGCATTCTGTGACAGCAGATAATCTATTTCTCGTCCCAGGGCTTCACTCTGTCTTTATTTCATCAGGCTTTTCTGCGCTAATTGTAGCTGTCACCTTTCTGATGAAGCTCTTCCTGTTTAGATGGATTTTGGATCCCACACAGGGCTGAAGTTAGTCAGTCAGCTCAGCTCCTCCATGAATGGCATGAGCTGTCAGTTGCCACTGACATGAATTGTCAGTCGGCTAAATCTTAGACTTAAAAATTTCATTTCAACTTGACTGTGCAAGAGGGTGAGCCTATTTGTGTTTCTGAGACCCT